AAAAAAAAAAAAAAAAAAAAAAAAAAAAAAAAAAAAAAAAAAAAAAAGAAAGATCTTTCCAACATTCCACAATTCATATAGTTTAAAATGGTAAAATATCACAGAAAAAAATTATAAATTTATGATTTCAAACATATATTCAGCATAAATACAACATTTACAGTGCAATCTATACATTACTGATCTTCCATCATGGAGGAGATCAAAGTTTCAGACCAAAAGTCATACAGTATTGAAGAAAGCAAGTTACTGCTTCATTGCAGGAAGATGTTTCAGTCTGGAAAAAAAAGTCCATATTTAATAGTTATACACAACAACACCAGGAACATTTAATCACTTTAACAAGAATGAAAAGGTTTCTCAAACCCTCAATCTGAATTTAACCATAATGAGTTTTTGCCCTTTTAATAAAACAAAATTGGCAAATCTTCTAAGAGCCTCCAACATGTCAGTTTTCACAAACAAGACAGGTCTGGCTGCAAATTTTGAGCTATCTGTTTGGAAGCCCCTTAAAAAGTACCCCTTTAAAAAAAAAAAAAGTTATACAGAAACAAAACTTAATTTTTAGAAATAAAAATTTAAATTGCGCTCATCAGGTTTTTGTTTGCTTGTTTTTTAATGAACAAAAGAGGGATGGAATAGTCCTTTGGAATGCCTAGTTTTCCTATTTGTATTCCCTTGTCCCACTAAGGTCCTATACCACAATGAGTTTCCTACACCAAGGAAGACAATGTGGTTACTCTGCAGAACATGTTGAGGCCACTCCTTCAAACAGCCAGAGGGGTTAACTGGAGTGTGATGCAGTGATTCCTCCACCCAGAGCATGCTTGGAGCTGAAGTTACTTATGTTTAATTTGGCTGGTTTTTTTAGAAGTGTATGGAACATACTTTGAAAGCAGAATGAAGTCACGGTGTTCTCTTCTACTGTTCATGGGCTTAATACTGGTTTGTTCAAGTCTATGGTTTATAAAATATTTAAGAGCACGCTGTCTAAAATTAGACCTACCACCTTCACTTCAGCTTGCTGAACAAATGCGCACTTGATTCAAACAGTTTCTCATTGTCTACTCAGTTCTGCCTGCCTGCTCCATATTTGTGAGCCAGCAGGGTACTGACTTACAGTAACCTTGTATTCAAGCACAGAATGCTCTTAACCGTCAATAACTTGCCATCTCACAAGAACAGAACCAGCAAACACTGAACAGTGTGATATTGACAAGCCCTGACTGAACCAAAATAAGCCCAACAACCTGGGTCTGCTGGAGCTGGGTCATTCAGCTATGAAGAATTTTAGCCAGATTACAGCATTTATTTTGGATACTAAAAATCTATCAGGCAATACCCCAAAGTTATCAGGGGAGGGATACACTTTGTTAACCTTAACTATGTCTTCTGAACAAATGTAGTGGCAACACTTCTCACCATTTGCATTTCTCTTACCTACTCAGTATTTATTCCCATTTATAGTAATTTACAATGACACCAAGATCTCACCCAAATTAACTTTCATTATCTAGTGCTTGCAGAGTTAGCTGCTCAACGCTCTTTTCCCTGGAGCACTTTATCTTAAAACTAGTTCTTATCTGGCACATCTAGATCCAAAAGCCTAGGATAAATTATCTTTTCTGACTTGATTAGCACAATAAGCTGTATTCTAGGCACAAACATATTGTACCAGATCCACAGCTGGTTTAAATTGGCGTACTTCCCCTGACTTCAGCAGAACTACACCAAGGCTAGGTCTACACTACCCGCCTGAATCGGCGGGTAGAAATCGACTTCTCGGGGATCGATTTATCGCGTCCCGTCGGGACGCGACAATCGATCCCCGAATCGACGCTCTTACTCCACCAGCGAAGGTGGGAGTAAGCGCCGTCGACGGGAAGCCGCAGAGGTCGATTTTGCCACCGTCCCTACAGCGGGGTAAGTCGGCTGCGATACGTCGAATTCAGCTATGCTATTCGCGTAGCTGAATTTGCGTATCTTAAATCGACCCCCCCCTGTAGTGAAGATGTAGCCCAAGTTACACTAGCAAGAATCTGGCTCATTATTGCTGCCAGATTTACAAAGATTTCAGTAAATTATCTGTTTACCTTCTTAGAAGTTCCTGGGATGACAAATCTGTGATCTCCTCCTCTATGTCACTAAGGCTGTCACTGCTATCAGCAGTCTCTGAGCTACTGTTTTTCTCTGATTTTTTATTCTTGTGTTTGCCTTTGTGCCTGTGCTTCTTATGTTTCTTTTTCTGTTAAAAAAAAGAAACAGTTGAGTTTGCTATTTGTGTATTTTTTTTAAATTTTACAAAGAGAGTTGGTCAAATTAAAACAGAAGGTCACCAAAAAAGAGCAACTGGAATTACAGGAAACATAATTCAGTGTAAATTCCAAAGTTAACTGGAGCAGAGCAGTAACAACAGTACTTGCACATCTTCAGTTGTGTAAACTTTAAATAATACAAGCCAAGGTCTTTAGGAGGCAAGGACCAAATAAATTAAATTAACATATATTTAGAAACTTTATTATTATATTGTATCAAGGTTTTCTACGGCATTATGCAGTATCTAAGCAAACTATGCGTATGGTCCCTAAGCACATAAAGAACAAGCAGCACTCGGTTCAGCCAATGTATCTTCTGTTCTAAGCTAGAAGTGCTAAGGGAGTCTAAGGGAGGGTGTCCACGCAGCCCAACTCTATTTCTGTTTTCCATAATCTAGCATATATCATGGTAGTTTTCACTTGGCTGAGGAAATCAGTCCAAAGAAAGACAGAAAGAAAGAAAGAACCAATTTATTTAAGTTGGTCACCTTTTCCTTTTTGTGTTTGTGCTCTCTCTTAGCCTTGTGTTTTTCTTTGTTCTTTTTAGGTTTCTCTTTCTGATTGGCTTCAAGAGAACTCGCTAGTGGTACTGGCTCATGTTTCTGAGTAGTCTCTAAAGCAAAAATCAAATATAGAGAAATAAAAGCATTACCATATAAAAGACAAACACAATATTAAACTACACAAAAATTTAAATTCCCTAATATTTGGGCTGAGATTTCCAAAGCTACATAAGGGATTTGGGACTCCCAATTCCAATTCATTTTAACTTCTCTACTCTATAGACACACCTTTGTACTCAGATATAAAAAAAAAACCATCATGCCAACCCCGATTTTGCATCAGGATCTGTTAGCATTGACCCGAGTCAGTGCAGAGCCCCAATGAAATCAGTGGGAATCTTCACAGGCACAAAAGTCTGTGCTAGTGGATCCCAATGTAGGATCAAAGTTTTTGACAATATCACTTTAATGTACACAGGTGTATGTGGGGCTGGAGGGAAGAATGAAGGACCCCAGTGCTCTGATAGTTTCCAAGAAAGGGACCTGGATCTGAATTGAAATTATATGACATAAGAACACATAGAATATCTTTAATCTGTGCGCAAAATTTCCACAGATGAAGTAACAACGCCTTGTTATTCACTCTAAATCTGTTGAACATCGTTAATTAAACGGGATTAAAACAACAACAAAAACCCTGTCTGTTCAACATTCAACAGGTAATAGCAGCAGCATACGTTCTCCTACTCAAAGATCTGTAAGGTCTGATTCTGGGTAGAGAAAAGACAGTAACTACACATGTGTTCTGAATTTTAGTGACTTGAACACAAACTTACAGCCACATTAAATGTATGTATGTGTGTGTGTGTATATATATATATATATATACACACACACACACACACACACACACACACACACACACACACTGACCCAAAAATACCTTCTACTTGCATGGGGACAGCTGCTTAACAACTCTAGGCTTTAAGCCGGTGTAACATTCACTTGTATATCTATCTCTGTATAGTACCTAATTGCAGATCAAATACCAGTCAATAAATTGCCCTCTGAAATACAAACAGTATAAAAAAAATGAAATTATCCTCATCTGCATTACTGTAGCACCTAGGAACCCTAGTCCTAAGACCAGGACCTCATTGTGCTAGGCATGCACAAACACAGAACAAAAAGATGGTCCCTGCCCTGAGGGACTTACAATCTAAATATAAGTAGAGCCTTGTGCAGGGACATGCTGGCGGCCGCTTCCCGCAGCTCCCATTGGCTGGGAACGGCGAACCACGGCCACTGGGAGCTGTGGGTGGCCGTACCCGCCGACGGTCAATGTAAACTAAATGTCTCGCATCCCGCCAGCTGATCACCCTGATGGGCCGAAGGTTGCCGACCCCTGGTATATCGGGTCTCAAAGGTGGGGAAGCATCTGTCTGCAGCTCACAGCCTCTGAGGCTGCTTCCCCGCCTTCCAGATCCTCATTGGCTATGAGCTGCAGACAGCTGCTTCTGATCTATCACCTCCCCTTTCGCTGTATACTGAGGAGAGGGAATATAGGATCTGGAAGGTGGGGAAGCAGCCTATATCCCTTTCCCCCACGTATACAGAGAAAAAGGAGGTGTTAGATCAAGACAGGCAGCAAAATTCACCATGTTCCTATCGCTACGGTTTAAGCATCCAAGCTATTTAGGAAACCTCTCCCAACTTCATATTGCTATGTCAGGTCAGTAAATGGGGGGTTCGGGGGGGGTATAGGCTCTGGAAGGTGGAGAAGCAGCTTCGTAGGCTATGAGCTGCAGACAGCTGCTTCCCCACCTTTGAGATCCTATATTTAGAGCCCTGCGTGGATACAAAATTTGTAGCCACATCCAGGAGTGCTGGAACAATTTTTATAGTGGCGGGTACTGAGAGACATTGATCCAAACTGTAAACCCTGTATATAATGGAAACCACTTCAAGCCAGGGGGTGCGACAGCACCTATGTCTGCATCTGATCCGCGATCTGCAAAAATGGTCCGCAGATATCGGCATCCGATATCCACGGATATAAAGCAGATATCCACAGATTTGCAGGGCTCTAACTATAAAAGACAAGAGACAACAGATGAAGGCAGAGAGACCGGGGACTACCAGGAAGTAATAAGACAATATTGGTTAGCATGATAGGCAGTGGTCTCAGCACATCAGATTTTTGTAGGCATCATGACAAAGGAGAGTTTTGAGAAGGGGATTTGAAGGTAGATAATGAGGTAACTTTGAAGATGTTTATGGGGAGCATAAATAAAATAACTGCATCAAATATACATTTTCAGTGTACAAAATTTAAAGTCTTCAGTACTTACTAGAAAAGAAAACTGGAGGCAACCTCGGTCCAAATTCTTCTTTCTTATCCAGCTCCTCCTTCAAAAGAGGTGGCACAAGGTCAGGCTCTTTTGTAACAGCCATGCATTCTAGAAAAACAAACATACAGGTTAATTTAAAAGGAAAAAATACTTCCCATACCCAAGACAGCTGAGAAAATATTCCATTAAAAATGAAATATCAAATAAATAGACAAGTTAATGAATTTTGCACCCTTGTTTAGATTTTGCACTTACTAGTTTTTCAAAGAAGCAGAAGGTGATTCTCACCCTTATTTCTTACTGAAGGGATCCTCAGAAGCCCCCAATAACTACACAAATTCTTTAAAAAGGACTTCAGTTACATAAATATATGCTTTCTTAAGCTTTTTTTTTTGTACACAACCTTCTTAACTTTTTAAAAATCTGTATCAACAAAGAGAAGTTGATGCCTTTTCCTTTTGCACCTTCCTGTGCATTTCAAAGACTGGTTGCACTGGCTGGGATCACCAAATATTTGATCACAGTGCTACTGATTTTTAAATTAAAATGGCAGGCAACACAAGTATAAATATTAACAAAAGAATCTATAACTTAAGGGCAAAAAACAGATTCACCCCTGCAAATTTTTCAAGAATTATGCAAAATTCCAGTGTTAAAGATATAATAGCCTAAAAGGTGATTTTAGACCTAGCAGTTTGAAAAGTTTCCACATTAAAAAGTATATATAAATTGCTATTTTTACTATGAAATAAGGCTACTTTACATTTGAATGGGGGGGGGGGGGTTATTAGCTTATTTTTCTTTAGGAATTTATTACTCCATCTGCCATTTTCACTAATTAGATTAACTGGCACTAATTACTGGGAGATCCACTGCATATTGCCTTCTTTTCTAGTTGGTAAGTATGCAAAGAAAAGCCAAATTAAAAATTAAAGATACATCATCCCTAAATGTCAAAATAAATGTTATTTTGCTTACTAATATTTCCTAGTAAACTATTAAATGTATTCTAGTACATTGTTACTTTAATTTCTAGTATGAGAACTCCCTATAATACTTTGCTATTAAATCTTGCTAAATAATAGAACAAGACTGCTTTTTTCCCCCAGTCCCGTGAAATGATTTGCTTTGTAGACCAATAATGAAAACTGATGAGATACAGCTATATTACTGTACTATTTAAAATCCATTTCAATATTATATTAAATGAGAATATCAAAATATAGAAAGGAAATTCCTTTTTCAAATAAATGCAAATTCTACTTATTTCCAGTCTGGTCAAAATTTCATTCAATATATATACTTTATCATATATCATACACCTTATTACAGGTGTATAAAATCACCCAATTTGGGGGCTTTCTTTACAGAGTAATATAGGATTTGTCCTCATCCCTCACTCTGTTTAGCAAACAAATGCATCTGACAGTGTATCTGTAAAAACTGTCATTGGCCTATGGCTATGTAGATAATATTTAAATAGAGAGCACTTAATTCAGCATTCCATTACTCCAGTTTTACACTGGATGTTACTTCATTGAGAACAGTGTAGTTACACCAGTGTAAAACTGGTGTAAAGCATTTTTCTACTAGGCTCATAATATTTTAATTTATTATAAAATTGCTAGAACTTCATGAAACTGAACAAACTGTTTACTATTACCTTGTACATCAGCTGAGGAGGCATCTGGTAGATTAGCAGGCTTTGTACTTTCTGAGTTTGGCATAGCAGAAGGTGTCTGATGCGTCTCTTCATCACTATCTTCCTCAGATGAGGATGATTTTTCATCTGAGGAACTGGCAAAGATGGCTTTAAATAAGTCCATAGATGGTCTGCTTTCTTCTTCTTTTTTCGGATCTGTGCTTTCATTAACTGCCTGCATAACAGTGCCCATAAGGGAAAAAAATTAAACACTGACAGAGGAAAGAAGTGTCTTTCCATTAAGATAAAATATTGTGACACTTTTAATGGTATTTTCATTTTAAAATTAGCAAATTTTACAGTAAATCTGAAGTCTATAAACTTGACAACTGTTGATGCACAGTAGTAGAGCTCAGATACTGCTAAATTAAGTCACTTTCCAATACAGGACACTGCATCCTGTGCCTTTTTCATGCAGGTCAGAACAGCTCACTTGAAAGAATATAAAATATTAACACTTTTTATTTTTAAGTCAATAGACTCTAGATACTTTTTCTTTAGCTTAAGTCCACAACAAGCAAATCTATTATCTTCCTCGGAATAATATGCATCTGTCCCTGTACAAAGCAGAGAAAAGTGGACTTTGTGCAGGAAAATCAGTGGGTGTCGTAGATGGAATTAAACCTCCCATCTGCTGGAAGGTATCACAGCCTCTACAGCCATAATCCCAGACTATACTTGCAATCCTTGTGTCCTCTATGTATGAGCTATAACCATACAATTCCTGTAAGCACAGATCTCATGTTTCCCTTTGCGCACCATTCTAGACAGTGCAGAACACTTAGGGATTACAAAGCCTGTAGGGTGATTCTGTCTGCAACCTAGCTCCCCCCACAGTCCTTACATGGACCACAGAGAGGCTTGCAGACCCTTTCCAAAGAGTAAATTCCCTCCACCTCTTTATTAAATGTGCCTTGTTCAAGCCCCCAAGTCCATTCACAATAAAATCAATGTCAAATGTGAGAGTCAACCTATGTTTGCATTAACTAACAAAAGAACTATCCTGCTAACCTAAAAAAACTGATAGCCCTTAACAAATTTCACTGTTAGGGCCAAATTTTCAAATGGCCTCCACCAGCATATCTGCTAAAACTGCACAAGCAAAAGGGGTAATTGTTATTTATGATAACTACCCAATTTGTACTCTTTTTGTTAACCCCTGTAATTTCTCATGGTTGGAGCTACAGAAGGTCTCCACAATTCGTCCCCACATGTAATAGAATCACACTGCTCTCTATAGCAGATAGTACTCAAACAAAATACATTTCCTACTTCATATCAAGATCTACATGCCTGCAGAGTTTCACGTACATCAGATTACTGTTTTGCTTCTTCAGTAAAACAGCAAGAATTAGAAGTACAAGTGTTTTCCTTCATCTGAACTATACATTTCTCCATAGAAAGCAAGGATTGGGTTTTTTCCCCCCTCATTGTTTGGACCACTTCCCCTCCAACTTCTAGAAATGTACACAACCTTTCCTCACACTCATTATCACATATTCCTGTGGCAACTACACCAACTTGCTTATGAGAGATCTGTTTTTAGCTGTCTTATTGAAACAACAAAGACTGCCAACACCCTGAGATCAGCCAGCTCTTCATGTACCACCAGCAACACACGACCACAGGCTGAGAACCACGGATATTAAAATTATGTGCTTTATGTAGGAAATTATAGGGCAAAATGATGTGAATAAAAATACAAAGCATTTCAATGCTAAATACTGTTATGGCAATATCCCAGATTCCCCATCAATATATGTTTCCCCATACAGAAGACTAAAAATTTAATAGTTTACTGTTGCAGAGTTTTTCCCCCCATTTTCTGTTTGAGCAGGGGGCAAAATTGGTGTTTTTCCTCCCACCGCACACGATAGGGAGATTCAGGCCAAAGAACCCATAGAACTCCAAGATCCATGCAGTGCCACTTATAGTCAACTGGTGCCTTCGCACTGCCTCCTGGTTTCCTCATCTTCTTGACAACATGCTGCTGCAGGAACTGTGGTGACCAGGACCCGCCCTGCCACTGCCCATCTTTCATGGGGATGGAAGCTTAAGCTCACAGTATGGGAACCTAAGTAAGTTAGAGCCAAAGTCATGAAGTTCCCTCTAGTGTACATTTGTGAATGTATGATGCTGCAGAGCAGCTAGATCTATCCTGGGTCTGCAGCCTCTCCATTTGAGGAACCCAGTGCTTGCAGAGCCCCAGTAGAGGAGCTTCCATAGGAGACATATTGTGGAGAAGAAGCTCTCTTTCCCACAGGTGGAGGGCATAATTTGTGCAGACATGTCTTTTCTAACTTAGCATGAGTTGCTACTACTGACTCTCTCCATGCACAAGGAAAGGCATTTCAAAACAAGATCAAGAGAAGAGCAATGTGCAGTAGCATGAATGTTACTGAAAATGTCAAACCTTTGGAGATCTTATACCTTATTGGGAAGGGGCTCATTTGTTCTACTTCTATCTTCTTCTATTACTGATTCTGGTTGTTGCTGCTGAATATCAACTTTTGATCTAGCAAGACTTAGGAACTCACTAACAGAATCATTTTTCTTCTTCTCTTTGTCAGATACATCCCATCTTGATGGTTTCTTTGGCTCTAAAAAAAAAAAAAAAAATGGTACAAGATCCCAAGCATCATGGTTAATTAGCTTTATATTAAATACTACAGCATGTCATAGTCAGGTTAATTATTTACTAATACTTGCTTTATCATTACTGCTTATATTTAAAAAATAAAGAATCTTAAAACTAGAAGATCTCTGTTGGCCAGATTCTCAGTGCTATAAATCAGTATAACTCCACTGATTTCAATTGCTCTGGCCTTCTATATGTAGCTCTGAGTTTTCAAACAGTTTCCTTTTATTTTTAAGGAAATTGCATCTTGGTATTTTTACATTCCATGACGAGTACATCAATGGGATTACACTAATAAAATGCTGACCCACTTACTGTTAGGATTGATATTCTGTTGTATTTTTTCATTTGTTGTTTGAGTTATAGTTGTTGTGGTAGACTCCGGTAGAGTTAAGAAATTGAATACAGAATACTTGTCACGTTTCACTTTGGGTAACCCAACAATCGATGAACTAGAGGAAAATGAAATTATTTGTCAATCGTTGTTTTTAATGATGGAATGGATGGACAACATTGGAAAATGAAGTCTCAGATTATCCACAAAACAAGCAGAGTCCATGAATACAAACCCTAACAAAGGAGCATCCACTATGTTCTGGGGGGATCACCTATTTCCATTCAAAGTGTCTCTAATGAGGTGATCCTCCTAGTTTAGGTAAAAAGCAAATTGGCAAGTTATCAGAAGGAAGCCTGACTGTTGTTCTACCTGGGTTGCATCTATTCTGAAGATAAAGAGAGGGTTTCAGCCTTCAGAGATGTCAAGCTGGCATGTTCCCCAAACATTACACAAACACACATTTCAGAACAATTAAAAAAAAATATTTTGAAAGCATTAAGATATTTGATTAATCATCTTACTCAGAGTAGGGATCAGGAACATTAAATCTTTTACACAGTAGCTTCTCAGGGTGCCACTCAAACTTATCTCTTGTGAGCTTGCCAAACATCTTCATCTTCACTGCAGATTCTTTGTCATCAATATCCATCTGTAAAATTCAAATGTTGATTATATACTCTACCGAATATAATCACCTTCTTAAAATGCCTGTTATTATGGTAATGGTGTCAACATTCAGTGAACTTAAAGGATAAATACTTAACTACTGCTGTGCGAGCAGTATTGTATATTTCCTTTTGGTTTCTTAAGGCAACAGAACATTATTACATTTATCTTCTACCATGATGTTTTAAATAAATTGGACTGTGCTACTGAGTGTTAACACAGGTAATCACAATACAGGATTATTAACAGCACGAACCTCTTGGTCTCGAGGAACTTCCACTTTGTCGGTGTCATCTTCATGCTTGGCCCGAGTAAACCTTGATGACAGGACTGAGTTGGAGGATTTGTAGAGCACTGCTGCATGGAAGAACTCCTCTCGTTCCCTTCCTCGCTCCCATTCTGTCATTCCCGGATCTGAATGACTCTCTGGTGTATCTATTGTAAGTTAAAGGACAGAAATGCTTAGCAGCCCTTAAAAGTTACTTTTAAGTTAAAATACACTTGTATGCTGTTTGAAAGAATCACAAAATGAGTTGAACTTGGCTTCTTGAATTGGTTTATCTCCACAAGGGTCTGATGAATATGTAGTTGAATATAAAAGTGCCAAAAACTTCAGAAATAAAGAATAGGGGTAACCCCGGGTGTCTTGCTGGATATACTATTCTTCAGTAGCCAAGGATGACTGCCCAAGATAGTGTCAGAATGACAATCTTTGACAAATGAATGATGGCTACTTCATTTACCTAACCCATTACTGTACTATTGACACCTAACTCACTGCTCTGTAATGCACACTGGAATATACAAAATATGAATTGCTCCATAGAAAACAAAACAACTCCACACACAACTCCAACAAAATGCTTCAAATGTAAAGGTAAAAAGCTCAATATGTGAACCTGCTAGTAAAGTTTGAAGTTTAGATATGCACTTGAGTATTCAAATTGGCTTTTTGGATGCATAAAATGTGCGTGCTCATAAGTACAAATTCAGATGTGCCAGGTAGCTTAAAAAAAAAAAAAAAAATCATCCTTTCCTGTTTACAAGGAACAGATTTTGGTTCATATTTGCTTCTAGAGGAGAGAGGAACAAAATCAACACCAAGCCGAGCCTCTGATATGAGGTTTTTGACCTTCCACATTATTTCAAGATTTCCTGCATTTTCATCCTGTTCTACTAATAAATACATTTAAGTTGTTCCATTTTATACAAAGCAACAATCTGTGTCCTGAGCAGATAAACTACCGGCCCAAAGACAGAGCTCAACATCAAAGAACAGCCAAATGCACCTGAAATAACATAAAAAAACAAAGTACACCTCTACCCTGATATAACGCGACCCGATATAACACAAATTTGAATATAATGCGGTAAAGCAGTGCTCCGGGGGGGTGGGGCTGCGCACTCCGGTGGATCAAAGCAAGTTCAATATAACGCGGCTTCACCTATAACGCGGTAAGATTTTTTGGCTCCCAAGGACAGTGTTATATCGAGGTAGAGGTGTAGTAACTTGCCTCCATCTCAGAGACACAAGGTGGGTTAACTAACATCTTTTATTGGACCAACTTCTGATTCCGAGTTTTCCTTCATCTCAGTAAGAGACCCCATGGACTCCGTAGATATGGCTTTTTTCAAAAATACCTCAAAAATCAGCATTTTTGCCACAGAATTTGCCCTTTTGCTGCAACTGGGCATCTGACATTTGTTTTCTGTTTCCCTGTCTTGCTGAGATCTGTCTCTCATTATCCAGTTTTCCCCACAAATGCAAGTCAATTGGATTACAGTACCTGCTCCCTACACTGATCCATGAAGCCCAGCAGAGCTGAAGCCCAGTTTGCAGATGGAAAGTGGGGGGAACCCAGAAGCACAGGCTGGGTAGCTGATTTTCCTGGAGAACAGCACAGCCACTGAAGAACAGGGAGCGCTGGATATTAACTGCTAAAGCCAACTACGAGCTCCCCATTTCCCTGGCATATTTGGGGAGCAGGGGGGAAGGTTTTAAGCTGGACCTGAAGAGTGGAGCAAGACGGCCTGGAGAGCATAGCAAAAATACCCATCCCTGAAAATAACAACTATTGAAAATCATTCTATTTTACGTCAATGGGTATTCTGAAACATGAAACTGTTGTATGGGGGTAGGGAATGAAGGATACTTCCTGGTGACAGACTAAGTTAACATTACTATGGTCCCACTGTACCCAGAGTACATACGGTCTTAATTACAAAAGAGAGATGAGTATTAAAAGCAGGTTGAAGGTATGGAGCTGGAAGGTAAACAAGAAGGAAACAAAACAAAACAAAAACTGCAAGATCACAGTATGGTCCATGACAGCGGTTCTCAACCAGAAGTCCAGGGCCCCCCCGGGGGCCACGGGCAGGTTTCACGGGGTCTGCCAAGCAGGGCCAGTGTTAGACTCGCTGCGACCCAGGGCAGAGAGCTGAAGTCTCACACCGGATGGGGCTGAAGCCCAGGGCCCTGAGCCTCGCCACCTGGGGCAGAAGCTGAAGCCAGAGCAATGTAGCTTGGTGGGCAGTTGCCCTGCTTCCTACTCCCTAGCACCGGCCCTGGCATTTATATGCCGAAAACCATTTGTTGTGGCACAGGTGGGCCGTGGAGTTCTTATAGCATGTTGGGGTGGGCCTCAGAAAGAAAAAGGTTGAAAACCCCTCATCTGTGAGGTTGTGAGCTACATTATGAGGGATCAGAGAAACTAAGATGAGTATGATCAAAGCCCCCAATCTTGCAAACACAAATTAATGTGTAGTCCCACTGAAGTCAATGGGATTACTTATGTGCCTAAATTTTGCAAGATTAGGGCCTCAGAAAACAGAAGGAAAAACGCTACATATGGAATTCTGGAATCAAGCCTATGAGAAGCTTAAAATGAAATACTTAAAATTGCAGAAATAACTTTTTCCAAATAAAAAAAATGCAGAAGAGTTTCATGACCATTTGCTAGTTACCTTTTTGTCCTTGTTTAAGACTCTCTACATAATCCTCATATCTTTTTTGTTTTTCTGGATTTTTTGCAAATGGTTTGAAGTCACTAGAACCAGGGGTGGCTAACTGCTCCCCTAATGCCATTTGCCACTTGTGATTAACACCATCTGAGGAAGATGAGATATTCAGGGATTGCTGAGGCAAAGTTTGTGTTTTCATTTGTTGTTCAGCTGCCTGTTTTGCTTCTTTGATTCTCTCTTTGTCTTTCCCTGACAGATACTCCAAAACAGAAGGAGATGGACCTGAGGATAGAAAAAAGCAATAAGGAGATATTTGGAAAAGTAAACATCTTTGTAACTATCTCTACTGTCATGAATAAAACATATTACATGTATATTATTTCCCTATCTAAACAAAAATGTGTCTAAATATAGGATGTACATACATTCAGATACCCAAGAAATCATCAAAAATCAATACTCTAGTAGTGGTTAATTTTAAATGTCACAATTTTGCTGGAAACCCTGAGGGAATATTTTTAAATGGTCATTTAAAGAGAGGAGATTTCTTTTACCAGAAGTGGCTCTCACTGCAATTTTTACACTAATATAAAAAATTATAGACACACATCGCTTTTACAAGTTACATCTTTGGTGAACCTACTGCTGTTTGAGTGGATGCATCTTTTATGAAAGGAGCAGGATAGTGCCTCACACTCATTCGTATGTATTGTGCCCCACCAGATCTCTGTACTGATAGATAGATATATAGATATCTATATATACATATGATGAAAAACAAATCAACTGGCATAGTATAAACCAGGGATGTCTACATTTGATAGTGTAAAGATCTAGACTTCATAGAAATCTGGAATGTAAAATTTTGTACAGCATATATATATGCTCCATTTTTTTTTTTTTTTTAAACCTTCAGAATCTAATACAGTAAAAGCTTTGTTATCCAGCATGTTGGGGAAATGGGAGGTACTGGTAAGTCAAAAACTCCGGTTAATTAAGAGGGAGGGAGTTTGGATGGGGGAAGAGGGCTCAGGGTGGGGGAGTGGGTGCAGGGCGCGAATTCTGGGAGGGAGTTTGGGTGCAGGAGGTGGTGCTGGATCCGGGTAGCGCTCACCTCTGGCAGCTCCCCACAAGCAGCGACATGTCCCTGCTGCTCCTAAGCAGAGGCGCAGCTAGGTGGCTCTGCGCGCTGCTTCCACCTGCAGGCGCCGCCCCTGCAACTCCCATTGGCCGTGGTTCCCATTGGCCAATGGGAGCTCTGGGACCAGCACCTAGGGCGGGGTGGGGTCAGCGCGCAGAGCTGTCTAGCTGCATCGCTGCCTAGGAGCAGCAGGGACATATTGCCACTTGCGGGGAGCTGCCCAAGGTGAGCGCTGCCTGGATCCGGCACCCCGAAACCCCTCCCGCACCCTGACCCCCTACCCCCTCCTGCACACAAACTCCCTCCCAGACCCTGCACCCTCTTCCGCACTCCAAACCCCTCATGGCCATTCCTCCGCCTAGGAGCAGCAGGGACATGTTGCCACTTCCAGGGAGCCGTGTGGAGCCAGCTAGGGAGCCTGCCAGCCCCGTACCAACTGGACTATAAACCAGACTTTCAATGAAGATCAGAAATGCCAGTTTATAGAGTTTTCCAGTTGGTAAAGTGCTGGATAACATCACTTTTACTGTAGTTACATTAGTGGTTTGAAAGTTTTGGACACTTCCATATATTTTCTTTTTTTATTACATAAACGTGCATATATATTTATTAATTATATTGCATATAATTTAGCTATTATATTAATCTATTATGCTGTTTTCAGTTATGAATATATTTTGCGCTTGGTTAGCCCAGTGGTCTCAGTGCCAAACTCTGCCATGTACAGTGCAGCTCCTGGTCCCAGTCACTTGCTTCTCAAGTGAAAAAGGGCTGGGGATGCTACAGAAGCGTCATACTCAGCCCTCGGGGGCAAGGGTGAGGGAATTATTCATATTACCCAACAACAACTATTCCTGTTGATTAAAGAGTAGTACTGTTAGTTCGGAGAGTATCTCCAGTTCTCACGAGGCAGAAAGTTAAAGGCCATGCCATGGAGCTTTACCAGGTGGAATGCTTTAAAAGCTGACAAAATAGCATTATTGTAGCTATTATACAATCTTAATTTCTGTCACAGCTATTTAAGAGTGACCTGCAATGGATATTTTTTTAAGTTATGTTTGTGCCATATTTTGCTTATTTATGATGTGTGGAAAAGGCTTGAAAGGCTAAAGACAAAAAGGAAGCGTCCTCCTTAGTTTTTACTGAGAAATGTGAAGTCTGACCTTTCCAGGTTTTGCGGGGGCCCCTTCTTCTGGGGGGGGTCTCAGAGCAGGGTGGATAAAAAATCTATTATTTAAAGAAAAAATCAAAACAATCAGATGGCTTTTATTAAAATCAGATTTTTTTATTTAAATGAAATGCAGGTTTATTTTTTTATAAATAAACCTATTTCAAGTTAAATTTGAAATGATGACAACCTATGCTAAGGCCTAAACTTATTATAGTCTATTAAAATAATTTAAATAAAATAAAATAATTTAAATTAAATAACAAATATTAAGCAGTACATGTTTGCTGGCAAGTTTTAAAGAAAGTCAAACCACTGCACTGGTGGGAAGTACACTGGCTAAGTATCTGGAACCTGAGATTGTTCAAGTGCTAAATCAGCTTCTGGCAAGAGTAGCCTCTTCTGCATGCAAAGAAATAATGTTTTCTTCATCTCAGTTTATTCAACTAATTCAGTTCAATGACTAGTTCACTCAAAGTAAAAAACCCAATGGGAGTTAAAAAAAAAGCAGAAAAATAGGTTTTTCTTCTAATCTATTAATAAAACTAGGTGAGAGAATGAGGCCTATTAGTTCTAAAATCTTGAAGGACATGGTGATGAGAAACAAAGAGTTCAGTAACTACATATAATACTTCCTTTGTTTAATAAGTCAGTTTTAAATGAAGAACACATTTTGATAAATTAAGACTTAGTTTTATTTGTCTAATAAAATTAAAAATGCTTGTTTTGTGCATTTTTAAATTAAATTTCTATTCAAACAGAGCTTGATAGAAATCAAGTAAAAAATTAATAATCATTCACCATATTCTAAACAATGTAAATGTAAAAATTAAAAATCTGAATAAATGTAAATTAAATGATATACTTGTTTAAATACTTGTGTATAAATATAGAATATCTTGGTTAGCAAAAAGAAGGACCAAAATTAGTACAAAGGCTACATTTAGTTGCAAATCAACATATTTTAATGGTTACCAACCAATGAGAACCAACCTTTCTTTAGCATAATAACGCAAACGTACAAATGCAAAGCAAGATTAAAATAGATTATTTTACTAAAGGTTACCTGCTTGCGGATTAAAATCCACCCTGTCTCGCAGCGTTAGTATTGTGGCCTCACAACTTAACTGAAGGGAAAGGCAATTAATATGTTCTTTCTCCAGTATCCTTTACTGGTTGATATTAAACAAGTGTTAACCAAAAAAAAAAACAGTTTTAAAAAGTCTAACATCCCCTTTCCCTCTTATTTGCTATTTTCTCTAGACTCATATAATGTCATAACAACACTAGTGACTAGAGAGCTATAAAATCTTCCAGGCTACACAAGATCTGAATTTCTAAGGTTAAAAAAAAAAAAAACAAAAAACAAAAACCCACAAGCAGAAATTTAAAAAAAATAAATTTAGGCTTCATGGAAGCAAAAAATGAAATACCTTTACACACACACTTTTCTCCTTTAATTAGCATGAGTAACTGAAAACACCTGTAGGTATTCCCAGTAATTGACATTTAGGGATCATATTGTCCAATATTTTGGCTAACATAAGGGGTGTTTTATTTTTAGTTTTAGTTTTATTAAATTAGAAAATATATATATTCAAGATTGTAAACATTCAAGTTTGTAAACAAGTATTTCCTGTGCTAAAAATATTATGGGGATACCTAGTAGTTTAGTCAGTGTTAAGTGAATCTAAATTATAATGAAACAAGGAGAAGTATGGTCACACACTATGTCACATACCTTTTAGAGCAGTCTCTCCTAGCAATTCCCTCCTCTGAGATGCATTCAGTGTGTGTCTGTTTTGCTGTGGAGTATCAGTCTCACGTTTCCCAGTTGATTCAGCTAATGCCTGAAGTAAAAGGGGGTTTTCATTTCTAGCTGTTATCACTGGTCGAAAGTAATGGACTGGTCTGTAATCCCTTGGCAGGTCAGGCGGTAGATAAGTCTTCCAAAATAAACAGAAAACACAGTAAGAGATGTAGTTTCATATTTGTTATTTATAGATGAGATGTCCTTCACTAAAACCACAAGACAGCGTAAAAAAGTTAGTCTTACTATAGACTACTAGTATATACTGCTCAGACTTGCACAAAAGGACATCCACAACCTGTATACTCCTTTAAGTACTGTCAATGTAATTTGTGAACATTAACAATAGAAAAGTAAGCTATATAACAAACAAACAAACAAACTAGACAGGCTCAATTAGTCTGAATCAATAAATAAATGGCATTGTAATAAACAGGAACATTTGAAACTTGAAAAAAATAATTACCAAATTGTCGGTTTATAAAAATTATACCATAGATCAAATAGCAAATCAAGAACTGCTTTTTTTTTTAAAAAAAATATTTCAGAAAATGCTTTGGATATTGCTTAAGAATTTACCTTCCTTAAAATGGGAATTACATGCACTTTCAAACATTAAATTTTAAAAGTTGAATAGTTTCCCTAAGCTTCTAAAATACCTTAGTATCCTCCACTGAAATTCTGTTTTCATATCTCTTAAAAGAATAGTCCTCAACAAACAACAGATATCCCAATGCCTCCTTATGGTTAAGTATACTAAGTGGATTTTTCTTTTTATTTCCTCTTTAGGAAAAGCATATTGTCACAAAATTTTATATATGCCTGGATTTTACCCCATTCTACACTTATACCAATACATCTTCTATTTAAAATTAAGTCCTAAAAATAGGGTTAAAACAAATTTGTCACTATGAGTGAATTTGAGAGGTCTTGGTCACTAAGAAAATATGATGTTATGTTTGAACAACAGACAAGCAGAATATATACGTTATTCTTGCTAAAACCAATTCTCCAAACTGCTGCCAAACAGTAGTGAGCAGCTCTGAATGCATTTAGTATGTCTAGTGGATGGACAAATTTCAGGTTTGTATTATCAACCTGAAAACCTATAGTTTTGACTATTTAGGATATCTTTGTTGCTTACCAACAAGTTTATTCCTATTACAAGACACAATATGAATGCAGTAGAATAGAGTAATAACAAAGGAGCTCAGTCAAATTGCATATCACTCTTTAGATCTATATTAGGCTTCTTTACATCTTTCCTTCATAAATTATTTGATTATTATTGACGTGAGTGATTACTTATTGTCTATATTTAAACACGTAAAGATGGCAAAATTATAACAGTTGTTTTTGCTAAGAGAAAAATTATGTTTTATTTACCTTCTTTGGAGCTGATGATTTAGAAGCCAAGGAAAAGCCATCCAGAATTTTGCCAATATATCTAACTTCTTTCTCCATTCCTATAAAATGATTACAGAATTAGTCATAACTTTCAAAGCCAACAACTAACTTCATAGACAGGGATATTCAACCTTAATTTTTTAACTAAATAATTTCAAACGATTCTATTTTCTGATACAGCATCCTTTAATTAGTATGTCCTGATATTTTTTAATTCCTTATTAAAAACCTTTACAGTTTTTCTCAACTTGTGAATGATCAGCAATAACTAATACTACTATGCATTGTATAATACAAATAGAATATGCAAAAGTTACCGCTGACTTTCATATCCTGCATAATTTTTGCTTAACAACAATCCCTGAGGCATGCCTATCTCATTCAGAATCCATCGAAGCCTCCACGGCTGTGACTGGCTATACACTATGTATGTTGATGGAACCAAATTCAAGCCAATGTTGATGGAATCAATTTCATTTGGAAAGAAATTCAGAAGTTTATGTATGTACATTAAATTAAATCCGAAGATGGTACTTTACCAAGTGCTGCTTTGCATGATACATGGCAAATGGCTGTACACGTGATCCTACAGCACTTACTCATGTGAGCAGCCCCACTCAAATCTCCAAGACTACCCATATTAGTAAGGGCTACAAAATCAGGCCCTATATTTGCAAGTAAATTACTGAAGGATTCTTAAATATTCATGCATCTTTTCTGACATTAAAACTACTGTGTAAGTTATCACTGTCTAGTATTAGTTCTAACCTAGTGCACACAGTATTTCTGAGATTTTCAACCATAACCACTAATGTTAGTGGTGAACTATTATCACTACTAGTGGTAATTATTTTCCTCTTACAACTGCCCTCTTTCGTAGTAATTTTGAGCTGTATAATGCTAATGTAGTTTCATATCTATTGCATAGGCAACTTTCATCCTGGCATGTCCTAACTTTTGAGTGCTTTTCAACCACGATATTTAACATTTTTTCCATATAATATTTTATACCTTGGCCATGGACAACTTTGGAATAAGCTCTCTTAATATCATCTGTATTTTTATAGTGGTGTTGCTTTTCACTTACTATTTTTTCTGCAGCAAAAAAAATTTTTTTTCAGATAAATACATGACTAAACTGAAGAAAGCAGAAGTTTTCATTTAATCTGCTTTTGAACTACAAGTAACGGTAATGGAGGAGACTAGGTGAAATATTGAGATCTCAGGGCTAGAAAATATCAATCCTTTATAAATGAACATATTTGGGAAATAGAGGTTAGCATTCTTATATACATTTTAAGTATATTTATACTGAAACTTCAGATCTATCTATAATTCTTACCTTTCTTGTTTTTATACTGCTTAGGTGCAGTCCAACCATACAGCATATCTCCAGGTTCCTCATCTTTCAGAACTGTATCATATTTTGACAATGTTTCAGTAGCATATATATCATCGTCGTCTTCTTCCAAAGCTCCTACACCAAAAGCCTGGAAAAAAATTTTAAATTAAAAATGGTTAGAATTCTACAGTGTCAAAATATAACAGTTCTGTCTTGAAAAAGTAACATGTCAGAATATGTATATTTTGTCTCTGAAATTAAAATTACATGTTTGGGACCAGTTTAATAACTTTCATGTAGCAAGTACTATACCCTGCCAAATGGGAGACCAATGATCAAAACAGCAAGCGTGTCCTCCAGCTCCTCCAGCAGAGAGGGAATGGGACCACTATGTCAGAGGCATGTTTGGTTTATAATCGGCAGGATTAGCTATATAACACTGAACAATGTATCCTGCCATCTAAATACGAACGGCACTAGTTGAGCTCTAAAGGAAGAAAATAATTATGCTGGCAGGAAGCCTTTAAAGAGGAGAAGAACAGCGTAATGGGAATAAATACAACCATATTTGACCATATTTATTTTTTCCCAAAAATCACATAACTTGACAATGTTTCTCCTGTGTGAAAACATGAATCACAGGGCATAGCGCTAAAGGGAAATTGAATGTGGCTGACAGAACCTAGCGTTGGAAGGAAATGGCCAAAAATTAAACATCTTTGGTTCACAAAAAGCTCATTTTACTCCAATTGGAGAAATTTAATGTTCACTTTCATTTTTACTTACACACACTCATCATGATATTATTACATTACACCCATTAACTTACTAAGCCATATAGAAGCTTCATGGACTCAACCATGGCTTCATAGCAAGCCCGTGTTAGCAATGGGAACAGAAGCAAGGTAACCTGCCTCCCAGTCCTGTTCTCAAACCACACAAAGTTTCTTGCGATCATTCTACAATTTCTGAGTATTTTCCATCTCATGGAGAAATAAAAATCAAATTATCTACATTTTATTTCTCAAAAAGCCAGGAACAGTAGGAAAAAAAAAAATGAGACTACCTTATGAAAGGGAACATTTAATGAAAGCATTGCTTCACACTGATAAGATAGTGTCTTTTTTTTCTACTGTTCCTGGCTCTCTGAGAATATGAAATAACACTGTAATAACAGAAATATCTACATTTACAGCAAAAATTGCCATTGACTTAAACAGAAGTGTTGCCTGATTACGGACTAGGAAGCATAGCATCTGGCCCTTGCAGATTCTACTGCAATTTTAAGAGTACTTTCAATGTAAAAAAGGAGAGTACTGTATACATTTGTTTTATTCCACTCTCCCACAATTTATTTCAATCACAATATTAATATTGGAATGTCATGCATAATGTAATAGGAACCAATGATCCTTGCCTCTTTCAACCAATAAAAATATATTAAATTCAAGATTCAGGCTGACCCTGTTTTTTGGTGTTTGGTCATTTTACCTATCTGTGCCTTAGTTTTCCCATCTCAAATTTGGTATACTACTACTATCCCACATCACAAGGTATTATTAAGATTTAATTCATGATCTCTTTCAGATTCTCAGAGAGAAGGGAACAGAGTAGTACAAAGTATTATTTTTAATTACAGAAATGGTATTTTCAATTTGCTTTAAAACTTTGTTTTAATTCCATTTTAGAGAGATTTTAAGACAAACATATTTATTTCCTATAACTGGCACTGCAACACAGTATATACAGTAATGTTTTACCTGGCCTGAGATACCCAATTTTCTTCCTTTACTATGTCTCAGATCACCAAGTAGATTACTTGTCTTTTCAGAACCATCAGTAAAAAGACTGGGGTGTTCTCCTCCTGAAACCCCAAACAATGCTTTGGTGGGGTCTAGACCCTTGTAACCAAGTCCATGGACATTCTCTTTAGGAGTCAAGTCTACAGGCATTACATCTTTGGGTGCAAACGTCACATTCTCCGGCTGATATTCATCCTCTTCATCCTTTTACAAAGTTAAAGTACATTACAATAAATAAACATTAAACTCTGTACAGCAGTATAAAAATGTAAGTTCCACAGCAACATTTAGTTAAGATGAAGTCCAATTCTGAAAAAGCTTAAGAGTTCTCTAAATACATACGGATATCACTTCATATGCCTGACTAGAAAAGGAGCTGTTCTAGGTTTACCTTAACCCAACAATTAATATTCAGAAGAGCTCTGTGTAGCTTGAAAACTTGTCATTTTCACCAACAGAACTTGGTCCAGCAAAAGATATTACACCACCCACTTTGTCTCGCTAATGTCCTGGGACCAACACTACAAATATTAGTATTCTAGTCATATAATAGTCAGATTTTTTTTGTTATACATTTTTACATATATTGAAAGTTATACTTTAAATATAACTTACAAATACTGTTTTTTATATAAAAAACAGTAACTTTTGCCTGCATAATACCTCAGATCCCTCAGATCCTTCAGGTGGTAGCGCACAGCCATAAACTTTTACTTCAGGATCTGTAAAGACATAACAGCACCATACTATAAAGTTACAATTCTTCAGTAAGTTTCTCTTAGTTACATTAAAAAAAAAAAAATTAACCACAGAGCAAATGAAAGGTTTTTACAAGATCTTCTCAATAGCACAGAGAAGACTAGAAACTTTACATTTTCCATGACTCAAAACTTAATTGAACATACCAGGTTTTTGTTTGCGTGGCTTTCTCTTTACTCGAGGTCCAACTCCTTGTCCTTCTTTCCAGCCCATTTTTCGCAATAATTCAACACCAATAGTTATTCTAAGAGAAAATTAAGAACAAAACATTTATGCTGACAGCCTAATTTAAAAGTATTCACGGTGAAGCTCCTGAAAGCTATAAATTCATAACAGTATGGGCCAAATTTTCAAAGCAGTTTTCTGTAAGCACAATTCTTCATGTATTATCATTTGTACCTTGCATGCAGAATTGCAAATGACAGTACGCGCAAATTTGCATGTGCAAAACAAGAAGGCAGGTGGAGGTCCCTTTGAAAATGCAATTTTATATATTTTGCAGTAATTTGCACTGACTGCAGTAGTCAGATATTCCTTTACTTGCCAATACAGCATAGATGTTTTGGGGATGAGGCGCTATATCTACTCACTTTGCTGGTGCTATTAAATCATCCAGTGCAGTGGCTCCTGGAATGGATGCTGTTACCCCTGCAATCTGCCTAGCTTTTTCTTTTATTCTATCTTTGGGTTTGGAAGCAAAGTCATCTGTCGTCGTAATTTCTTTAGGCGCTATCCCATATTCACTTAGATCCTGAAAAAAAAACCACACAAAATGGAAAAACTCTAATTAGAAATAACTTTTCTTCAAATATAGACTAATATTAAAGATGACCATCCAAGGAAAACCTGGAGTTTATGCCCTTTATTTTGGCTGGGTTTTCAAAGGCACCTACAGGAGTTAGGTGTCCAACTTTAATTACATTTCAATGGAATTGGGCACCTACCTCCCCTTAAGCACCTTTGAAAATCACAGTCTTTATTTACATATGTTTTTTTATAATGGAGACCTAGAAAGTTTTGTTTGCTTTCTGTTTTGTAAGGTTTTTCTTTTTGTTTGTTTTAAACAGGTCCTACCTAGAAGACTCTTAGTTAAACAAAATAGGGTTTTTAAATTGCCTACATACATTCAAGGGCTGAAACTGCTCCCAGCTACATCCATCAGCCCTCAAAACTATGCCAGCAAAACTAGGGATGCTCATATTTTACATCCTGATATTTCCAAGTTAAGAAGTAAGCAGAACCCACCACTACCAAATGCACACTTGTCCCTGACAAGATTAAATCGGTTCTTTGATGAAAATTTAAAATAATGGATCATTCTTACTCTTATTAGTACTATCTACAATAAAAATGATTCTATTATCCATATCTACATAAATTCATGCAACAATATACGCAGTGATAAAATGCCCAAACATCTGAAGTATTGTCATGCCACAACTTTTTGTATAATTTTTGTAAACTTACCTCTTCATCCATAAAGTCTTCTGGTCCAAGGACTGTTTTGTCTGCTCTCTTCTGACGTGATGATACAAAAGTTGAAGGGGCCCATCCTTAAAAGAAAGCAAATCTTTAAGAAATGTATAAAAAGAAACTCTAATATAATGTATGAACGCATCAAGGAAAAGGTAATATGTTGCCATTTTGCCATTCTATTAATCAGAAACACATTAAGGACACGCCAACACAACGTGATGCATCCATAAGCAGAGCATTCCAACGGTAGCATCTTCAATGATGTTCATTTTAATAGAAAAGTATAACTATTTACAGTGAACATCAGCAGAAAAAAAATACATAATACCAATTTACATTTGTTTTCCCAAAAACAAATGTAGTAGTGTTATGTTTTGATAAATTATTACTGCAGTTCTTCTCCATGAGAGGAACTAGTTTCAGACACAATTTCTGACCTTCCTTTGAGCCAACAGTGTTGAAGTAGCCAGCAGAGAAACCACCACTAAATGCTCCATGAAAACGTTTGTATCGTCCCTTTTCATCTTTAACAGTCTGCTCTTGAAGAGGAACTGGCTTCTTAATTCGTTCACCTACAAATACAAAAAACAGGAAAATGAGTTAACCCGAACAGAGAATCAAATCCCCACTCTTCTCAGTAACTATTTGTTCCCCACAGGAATAGCAGCCAACTCTGAAGAGGAAAGTGACAGCATTTCAACTGTGCATGTCAGCACTACATGCTGCTATTTAAAACAGGAACTGAGAGAATAAGAAAATAAAAATAGTGATGAAGAATTTCTAAATCCTAATCCCAGTTCTGACACTGACTTTTTCCATGGCTGTGGGCAAACCACAAACTATCTGTCTCCTTAATGTCCCAATCTGTAAAATGGGACGAATAATATTTATTTTCCTATTTTAGAGGGTGCTCTAAGCACTGTTTGTAAAGCATTATGAAAATTGCTAAGTGTTATTAACATCATATCCAACTGAAGCTTTAGGAATTTGGAAGGCAGAATATAACTATCCAATTTTTAAATTAATCGAGACAGAGGTTAACTAACAACACCATCATTGCAAACAGTCAACAGGATCTTTAAAAGTCAGGGCTATCTTTAAGTGGTCAGAACTTCAATTGCATGACACTGCCAAAAAATAACACTTGTAATAGCACCATCCCCCTAAGAGAAGTCAATGAGGCTCCGTACAGGTGCAAACATCTGCTGCATGCAATCTATTGCAGGATCATGGACCTTGAAATATTTCATACAACTAACTGTGCTGAAATCACATTTTAACAAAATGACTTCAAGGGAACAGAGGGATTTGCATAATAAGCACTTTTAAAGTGTATATATAATCTCCTTTTTGTGTAAACTCACTGTTGTGTGTAAACTCATTATTATTTACTGAAAACCAAAAGTGTGCTTGGCTTGGCAAAAACATGTAAAATACTGTCATTTCTCCAAGAGATTTATAATCTCAGGGACATACAATTGAAACATTGCTGTATGCAGTGCTTTCTGCCCACTGACTTCAACACTACCCACCGTTAAGTGTTTGCAGGATCAGGCCTCAAAACTCTTGCCATGGCCTTTAAAGGGCAGGATTCCTACATTATGCAAATATTTACCATTGAAATATAATACTGTACATATATAATACATGGGATGAAGGTTAAACATTCATGTGGCCAGTGCACCTGTGCATGTACATGCATGCACACCCACCCACAGCTGGTTACATGCACTCTGTGCTTTTGATGGTAGGATGCCTATTTACACCCAGCTGCAGGGCAGTTTTATGAAACTGGATATAACAGAAAAAGTATTGACCCTGAACCTTATAAGGCAATAAGAAACAGTATTAAATGAGCAACGTTGTATTTATTCCTTCGGTAAGAAGCACTACAAACCACAGGGGGATTTTACTTTATAGAGTCTAACTTTTACAACAATTAATTGCTTTCTACTTTTATCTGTCTTTGGGTAGGTCCACACTACCCGCCCGATTCAGCGGGTAGAGATGGAGCGCTTCTGGGATCGATTTATCGCTTCTCATCTGGACGCGATAAATCGATCCCAGAAGCGCTCCCCCGACAACTGCGGAACTCCTGCTCGCCGACAGGAGGAAGCGCTGTCGACGGGGGAGCTTGCCTGCACCACGTGGACCCGCAGTAAGTAAACTTAGTTCGATCTAGGAAACGTCGACTTCAGCTACGCTATTCTCGTAGCTGAAGTTGCGTTTCCTAGATCCATCCCCCGCCCCAGTGTGAACCAGCCCTAAGTAAATAACAATGAGGGCTTTCACAGTTTACTTCCATCAGTTCTATTCCAACATTTATGAGAAATATAATTCTGTTATAGCAAAAGTCTTGTATCAGCCATGCACAGTGTTTTTGGTTATCGGAGTACAGAAGTGGAAAAAAAAGGTCAACTTTAATAAATATAACATAGCTTTATTTTTAAAAATCTTAACACCAACATCAAGGCCTTACAGAAATGCATGGAACTTCCAGGTCGTTGAAACAGTCTGAATGTACTGAGCACTGAAGCCTTAGTGCTTCAATGGTGCCAGGATTTTTGATGTTCCATTTAAGCACAGTCATTTGAGAACTTGACCTAGCAGTGACATTGTTAAAAGAGATACAGTCCACTTAGGCCTTATTTACACACAAAATTTGTACAGCTTTAACAACCCTGGTATTATTAAAGAAGTACAAGTAGTCTAGCTTATTCTTGTACATGAAGGGAAATAAATTATACTCACATAAAGCATCTTTATACCAGCATAACTGTGTTCACATTATGAGTTGCACTGGTATAACTATTTCGGTAAACAAAATCAAAACCGTAATCGAATTTGTACAAAATCCTTGTGCAGACCCAGGCCTTAATCACACTTGTGTCTGAAAACTGAGGACCACCTACTGCAACAAGAACAGGAGTACTTGTGGCACCTTAGAGACTAACAAATTTATTTGAGCATAAGCTTTCATGGGCTACAGCCCACTTCATCGGATGCATGCAGTGGAAAATACAGTAGGAAGATATATATATATATATACACACATCTTCCTACTGTATATATATATATATATATACACACACACCATGAAACAATGGGTGTTACCATACACACTATAACGAGAGTGATCAGTTAAGGTGAACTATTATCAGCAGAAGAGAAAAAACTGTTTGTAGTGGTAATGAAAATGGCTCATTTCCAGCAATTGACAAGAAGATATGACGAACTGTAGTGGGGGGGGGGGGGGGGAAATAGTTTTACTTTGTGTAATGGCACATCCACTCCCAGTCTTTGTTCAAGCCTAATTTAATGGTGTCCAATTTGCAAATTAATTCCAATTCAGCAGTCTCTCGTTGAAGTCTGTTTTTGAAGTTTTTTTGTTGTAATATTGCGACTTTTAGGTCTTTTGCGGATACAGACTAACACGGCTGCTACTCTGAAACCTGTCTACTGCAACAAGTAACACCTGAGACTTCAGTAACTGAGGGCTTGTCTACACTACCGTGCGGGGTTGATCTAAGATACACAACTTCAGCTACATGAATAGAACAGCTGAAGTCGACGTACTTAGATCTACTTACTGCAGTGTCTTCACTGCGGTAAGTTGACAGCTGACGCTCTCCCATCGACTCCGCTTGCACTTCTCGTTCTGGTGGAGTAGTGGAGTCGATGGGAGAGCGCTCAGCGGTCAATTAATCGCATCTACGCTAGACACAATAAATCGACCCCCACTGGATCAATCGCTGCCCGCTGATCTGGTGGGTAGTGTAAATAAGCCCTCAAAGATTAGAAGGGAATCCCCTGCAGCCCCTCCAGTTTGTTTGTTTTGTACATTTGCCAGCTCTTAGCCTATCATCTGTACTACCCACTCCCCCCTAAAGCTATGTCTACACTACCGCGGTAAGTCGACCAACACTACTCAACTCCAGCTACGTGAGTCGACGTACCTTAGGTAGAGTTACCGCGGTCGGTCGACAGGAGAAACTCTCCCGTCAACTTATCTTACACTTCTGTCGAGTACAGGGGTAGACTGGAGAGCGATCTGCTGTCCATTTGGCGGGTCTTCTGTAGACTCGCTAAATCGAAGGCCGGTGGCTCGATCTCAGAGCCTGGCTCCTGGCTGTAGTGTAGACCTGCCCTGGTACGACTGTGTTGACTGTGCAGTGAGCACTAAGAACTACTACATCAAGCCTCCCCAACCACCAGGCCGAGCCAACCCTGTCCTCCCCTATTAACACCCCGCAGCACAACAGCGTCGGTGCGTTAGTATTCGTCCACCCAACCCCTTCTCTCCCCCGGCGAGAGGGAACCTCGCGGGCTAGGCGGGGGTGGCCGTGTTTACTGGGCCCTGACCGGGGAGAGCTGGGCGGGTCTCTCGCAGGCGCAGGGCAGGGAAAGGGACTTGCGGGGCACAGGGCGAAAAGGAAGCCGCAGACCAGGCGGCGGGCATGGAGAGGAGCTGGCTCGTCTCGCCCCCTGAAGCAGACAGGATGTGCGGCTGCCGAGACGGGGGCTGCCCCGCTGGGTCTGGCTTCAAGGCGACTCCCCCCGCCTCATGTGGGCAGAGCGCTCCGGGGAGACAAGGCCCCTCGCTCGCCGCCCGCCCGCAGCGTTAGCCGGGCTAGTTAGGGGGACGCCTCCGCGCAAGCCGGGGGATCGGGGCGGCTGTGCCCCCCGAGCTCCCTTACCCTCCGGCAGGGGCTCCAGCGCGGTGCCATAGCCCGCCAGCTCCTCCTCCTCACTGTCGCTGGCCTCCGACGCCGCCATCTTCTGACCAGGGCGCCTGGCGCCGGGGCCAAGCCGCTGTCACGTGAGAGAGGCGGGGCGCTCGGCGGGCGCCGCCATGGCTATGTGGGGATGGAGCAGAGCAACCTGCGGCCTGCTCGGACTTAGTCTGCTCTCGCCTGCCAGGGGCTGCACTCAGGTGCCCACCCAGAGCCCGCAACCCCAGGGGGCTGCTGTAGCTCAGGGTCCTTCCCCCATTAAGCCCTTGGGCTGCTGAGGGACGGTGTGAAGCATCATGTCTTTTTCTCTCAAGTTTATATTTCTGCTACCCTCAGGCACACAATGCAATTGTCATCAACTTTCAATGTAATGTTTAAAATGTAACTTGTGATCAGTTTTAATACATTTCAGTACATCTTAAAATAAGGGATGGGTGGGCATCCTCCAGGACAAATCAATGAAATAAGGGACAGTCCCTTGAAATAAGGGATGAGGGGGAGGGATAGCTCAGTGGTTTGAGCATTGGCCTGCTAAACCCAGGGTTGTGAGTTCAATCCTTGAGGGGGCCATTTAGGGATCGGGGCCAAAAATTGAGTAGGGGGTTGGACTAGATGACCTCCTGTGGTCCCTTCCAACCCTGATATTCTATGATGGGTGGGCACCCTGATAATAATTCTAACCCTAATAATTTTAAATGTATCATTCATTGGCTCATATTTTACATCTTGATATTTCCAAGCTAAGAAGCAAGCAGAACCCACCACCACCAATACACACTTGCCCCTGACAAGATTAAATCTAGATGGGGCAATACAATAGAAAACATACTCAGAAAGAAACCCTGTACTTGCGGTGGGAGTAAGACTGCATTACCTAACAGGGCTTTTCCATTTCTAACGTCTATGACCATATGAATGTTTGCAGGATGCAGGACTGCCACAGCAAAATCACAACAAACTTGGAAATAACAGGACAAGTGTTTGAGATCCCTTTCATATTCCTGTCCTGGAATGGTGTGCAAGTGGGGCCAGGTTCCTCTGGGATTTCATCTTTAATTTCCTGTAGCTTCATCACACAGCAACACTAACACTTCCTCCATGAGGATGAATAGGCAGGATACGACTTTCTTCATTTACTGGCCAAAAGAGGTCACTCAAGAGCAACATTATTGATCCCAGGAGCTAGCCCCTTTGCCTTTACAGACCTTTTAACCTGGGGAGCGTGAGACGTGCCCATATAAAAAATACTACAGTGCAATGTTCAAAATTAGTGGTCTGAAACACTGTAGTTAACCATGTTTAAGCATGATTCTTGCAAGAAAGGTGGTAATAGTTTCCAAACTCAGAGTTAACAAGGCCAACAAATCGCAGATATGATCCCACAACAGACATGGAAAGAATCTAGCATAGGGTACCAATATCACTACTGCTGTCAGGATTGAAGAGTAATGGATAATAGCAACTGCAATTTTGTGAAATGGATCCACTTCCAGAATCAAAGTGTAAAACATACTCCGTGTGTATTCAATGTGGAAAGGGGGAAACATGGATGTTACTGATTTACAGCTGATAAAACTCACAGAGCCAAATTTGGTCCAGTTTATTTAAAGTGCTGCTCTACTCAAAAAGTGTTTGTGCAGAAACTGCATTATGGTACTTAACAGAGCTGTTCTTTATTTTCATTGAGTCATATTTGCTGACTAGGGTCAAAAATAAGCTTTTACTACATTTTTTTCCCTCAGCCCTGAAGAGTCAAACTCTAGCCACCCATGACAGGTCTAGACTGTTCTTAAAAACCTCCAAGGATGGGAATTCCACAACCTCCCTAGGACCTTTTCCAGTGCTTAGCTATACTTAGAGAGATTTTCCTAATATCCAACCTAAATCTGCCTGGCTGCAAACTGCAATCAGTGGACATGGAGAACAACTGATCACCATCCACTAACAACCTTTTACATATTTGAAGACTGTTATTTGTACCTTCAGCTTTCTCTTCTCTAGATTAAAGATGCCCAGTTCTTTTAATCTTTTCCTCATAGGTCACATTATTTTCTAAACCTTTTATCATTTGTGTTGGTTTCCCCTAGATTCTCTCCAGTTTGTTACAAGTTACATTTAAACAGTGGCACACACGTTTTCTTAACATTCCTAGATATTTTACCATTAGTGATCACTCACATTTGCCTCCTTTACCCAAAGGATAGAAGACAGCCATGGGTGAATTGACTTGGTTCCACCCCTTATTCCATGAAGGCCTACCAGGATATACTACAGATGGTCCTGAGCAGCAAAGTTTGGGGCAAGGGTTTTACTTCACAACCATCTATAATTTTAACTGAAACCTGTACAAGCTATAAGTTAAAGGCTCTAGGTTCTATTACTGGTCTCCTGAGGTATCCAATTACTTGTACAGACAGTTTTAAAGGAATTAGTGTACATGGTTAGAAGGGATGTCCAAAACTTTTTTTTACTAAAAGATGAAGGGGGAAATAATTAGTGGTGGTGTCAATTTTTTTCCAGTTCACATGTGAAGAAGGTTTACTCTGTAAGGCAGTTATCAAGGCAGTGTTAGAAACAATTGTGAACTGGAAAGTCATGTCTGTTAGCTGCTGCAAATAAGCTCCACTTTTATAATAGATACCCTAGGAAATTTTGAGCACATTCACATATGTACACAGACTTTCTCTCTTTTTCTCTCAGTAAGTTTATTTCTGCATTAATAATTATACAAAGGAGAAAATACATTTTATTAAAAGAAAAAGCTGACGTCAACTCAGTCACCTTTGTTTACCTTTCATGTACAGTCTATACACAAGGTGTGTTGATAGGTCTTACCTGCCCTTTGGACCAGCACTGGGTGTGGCTCATTAGGCACCAGGTAGGAATCTAAAATGGTGACATCCACCCAACCTGTTCCTTCCTTGTAGTCAAGGACAACAAGCAGGGTTTGATTACGTACAGTATTTACTTTTTACCCTAATCATACCTAGTCATAGCTGTGTGATCAATTATTAGAATGTAAGTGGACAGCAAAAGCACTGCTGTATGTTGTATGAGAGCTCAACTAGAGCTATGCAAACCTACCATTTTTGGTTTGTATGGGTGGAAACTAATGCTGGGCCTGCCCCAAAACCTTGGACCCAAATACATCCAGATGATAGGCTGTTTCTGGATCCAGTTTTTGCAAACTGGCCTTTATATAATGAATACAAACAAACTTCTAGATCTGAAATCCTGCAACTTTTAATCTGTCTCTGCATTTTAATTTTGTGGCTTTACCCATTATTATCAGAGAGAAACTTTTATGTACATTTTATTCAAGTGGTTTCCCAACCTTGCATTTTTCTTAAGATTCAGGTTAATTCAAGGTCAAGGTGCTGAATGCAAAACTTTATAAAAAACATCTAATGTTAAATTCTGTGCTGCAGGTGGGTTATTGAGGTTTCTATTGATCCAAGATTTATCATACGAGCAGCTGTCACAAGTTTCTTTAAAACACTGAAAGGAAATCACAACACTCAACCTTGAGAAATTCCATTCTAATCCTAGATTGTAACATGTTTTGCTTTGAGTTTAAATCAAGTGTTTTAGGACCAACAATATTTTGCACAGAGCTCAGCTGCTTTAACTTCTGTGTTCAAACTGAAACTAGCCGAGTTTCATATGGTTTCAGGCTTTCATGGGAAATATTTACACAGCTTTAAATAGAATCCTCCCTATCTACATAATTTGTGGCTTTAATCCAGCTTTAAAACAGTAGAGAAGGGAACAATGGATATTTACATATATTATCTTTTTTCTCATCATTGCTAATTACTAAGCAGTTGGCCAGAATACTTAATGGTAAAATGAGCTGTTAGTCATTAGTATGGTAGGAGGTTTCCTTTGATTAGTAAATAATTGATCCTAAAGACTTTATAACCATCAAGACACATACACACAAGCTGGATTTTGCACAAAATGAACATTAATAACAAATCTCTTCCATGTCTTGTTTGGCACATACAGAGAGATGGGGTAATAAAGTCTCCAGCTCCTTCTTCAATCATACTGACTTTCCTTTATCAGATGAGAATTACATCTTGCATTATAGAGTTGCTTACTTTGTTCATAGTAAACTTATCTCCTCAAGTCAATAAACAATTTGCATTCATTATTCAAGTTGGTGAGAGAATATGTGATGATTTTGTTATATTCTATATAGTTTTTCTATACCACACTCATCACATAGTATCTGAGCACTTTCCAGTAGTTCATTAAGTAACATGACTACACATCTGTCGTATGTTGTTTGTTCTCTCATCCTCTCCCCAGGTGGAGCAGCATTTATAGTGGAATGTCTTATTTTTGTAGAGTTTTTTATTATTAATAAATAAATATACATGTTGCTAACAGGGCCAGTTTTAAGGCAGGTAACCCAAGCGACCACCTGGGATGCCGGGCTTGGGGTGCTGTTTTTGTTGTTCCGACAAAAGAGAAAATAGAATGTTTGAAGTAACATGTTTCAGGTATTCCATATGTGGATTCATTTTTCACTAACCTCCTAGAATGTTCTAGATCTTTGTAGAATCTTGTGGAACCTGCCAGACTTTCTGAGAACATTTTCCTCAAACCTCCTAGAATGTTGTCAGCCATCTCCTTGCGGGTATACAAGGGGTGGGGACTCACCAGTCAGTCAGTGAGATATAAGAATGAACTGAAGTGAGTTCACAGTTGCAATATTGTGAACCTTGTTTTATTGTGTAATTTGAAAGTGTGCTTATGTTTTAAGACTTGAAGAGTGTAAGTAGTGACTAATAAAGGACATATTTAATGAGATGCCAGAGATATCTATCGAACTACTAGCTATGCAACAATATAAAAGACTGAAATCGCTTGCTATTTTATCACTTGAAAATGTCATTGGCCAGTCTTTGGATCTCTCGGACACTGTGGTTCAATTCACAAGGGTAAAGGCAAGAAAAGTGACTTTTTCTACTAAAAGACTAGAGTTAACATTCTAAGACTGTTACCTACTGAGACACTATTTAATACTGGTCCACTCAATGTTGGTGCACAGTTC